GAAAAGGTGTTGAAACAGCAATATATTGTGGAATGTCTTTGGCAATGTCCATCCAGACAATGAAAAATGTCAGAAATAAAGTACTGAACATCGAAACGACACTTGATCATCTGAAAACATTTTGAAAACAATTTAAGCAATTTTAATAATCTGTTGTAAATAGATCACTGATAATAAAAGTTTCAATTCATGGAACATCGTAAGTTTTAGGTGAAACCCATGATAAAACCGGTACGCATTATTATTCAATACTTTGAAGTCTTCGTATTTTAATATTCCCTTATTCGCAGTTTGATTGACATACACTATTGATGGAAACTGTGTCAAGAATCGAAATCGAAATCTCAACAATTCTTCTGAAAGATCATTTCTTCGTTCTACTTCTGGTTCATTAAACAGAAAGAGTTTCATGTTGAGATAAATCGATGCTTAAAACAAAAGCTCACTTGCACAGGAGAAATAAAAATCAGCGATGTTGATCGATTCGTTAATGTGAATTGTTAAAATTTCTGAATTGTCAGCGATTATTGCAGTTTTTGAGAAAAACTAACAACTATTTTGTCTTTTAAGATATGCAAACCTATCAAAAGGGTATGACTATGAGTGTGGATGTGCGTGTGCTTGTCATTTCATACACTAGCACACACACTCACAATCATCTTCATGGAATTTCAAGTCAGTATCAACTTTTGCTCTCTTGATAGAGATCTATTCTGCGTAAAAATTCAACATTTTTCATTGCTCCGTTCTCCAGACATCTTGGAAAGAGTTCGATCTATTTCGGATCGAACCGAACCGGTAAACATATGGCTCGTTTCGGTTCTCATGTAAACTAGTCAAAGTTGTTCGTTTCGTACCTGACAAGCCATTGATAACAGTGATCTCTGATTTTTTATTTCATGTCATCAACATACATATGACTGGCAAAGGTGCCGTTCATGAAACATATTAAACTGAGATGTAAGTAAATAGACAGTCAACGCCCCAAGGAACGATCCAATTTGAGTTAAGATGCCAAACCAATAAAGTCCTCGATGTGCCGAAGTACGTTTTACATAGTTAGCAATAGTGATACGGATGAAATGAAACACGCAATACATTGTCACCCAAGCAAGAGCAACCAAAACACTCCCGGATGTTTGATCAACCAGAGGCGAACAAGGAGAAAGTTTGGCTGTGATGAAAATATAAGCAAATAGAGTTGTACCAATAACAGTTAGAATATATAGTACAATAGTTGAAATACGATTCAAGAAAATCGCAACAACTAGCATAAGTGGAGCGGCGAATTGACAGGCGATGATTGTTTTGTGATAGACGTCGATAGAGTATGGATAGAGAGAGAATGCTAAAATGATACAAATCAGATTTGGCAATAAAAGCAGTCGATCCACTTACTTTGTAAACTTGGTGCAGCGCCTAGATGAGAGAAAAAGAAAAAGAGTTCATATTATTTTTGTTTCAAAAATTTTTCTCAGTACTGAAAACTATGAATTGTCCGATAGTTTACGAGAGGAAGCCAAAAATCGAGAAGAAAATTGCATCAATTAAGCAATAATGAAAAACAATCTTTATAAAAACATCTTCAGAAATGACTCATCCCCAATAAAATATATTCTCCAATACAAACCGATATTGAAAAAGCTCGCCAAAAAAATCATAATCAAATAGCTGCCATGTACAGAACACCAAAATTGTTTATAAGTCATTCGTTTGGCCGGTTTTTCACTATGTCCATCATTTTCGTACATATCATTAATTGATGATAATGATGACAACTCACTGATTATTGATCTAAAACAAAAACAATTACCATTTCGTTTCATTCGAATAGCAACATGATCGAGCCAACTAATTTTAAATTTTATTGCTTGAAATTTCTCCATTGGCCGATTAAGAGGAGTTTCTGCGAACAGATATAAATGTTTTCTCTTATCTTTGAAACAGTCAGATTTTATGTATCCCTATAAATTTAAGTCGAAAGCTTTTAATCACTGACATTATTCGCCTATAAGAAAAAAAAACTAATTTCATTGAAACCTTTGCTGAGTATCACTGGTTTTTTGTCTGCCAATCTTCGTTGAGCAGAGTATGATAAAAGCCAGAAATGAGCAAATCATGATCACTGATAAACCGATCAAATATACTTGAACCGAAAAACGGGGTGGATGCTGAATGCTTGTTCCATTTTGACAGATCTCTCCACCGACACCTTGAACGAGTCCGAGCAATCCGGGTAATAAACTTGAGAGTGCTTCACCGAATAAGAATCCATTGAGAAAACGAAGTTCATATCGATTGAGAAATGGCATGAATGTTGCATTCGAAGTAACATCAACGAGAGCTAAACAAAACGATAGAGCCATAAGATAAGTGGAATGACGAGAACCAGCAATGATTGATGTCTTGTTCCAGAGGAAGGCGAGAGCGAAAAGAGCACCAGTACCGATCGATAATATGCCAATATTGACGGGAATTTCGTAAGCAACCTTACCTCGAGAACACCATCGAATAATAGCTACAAGAAAGAGGGCTACGATGGCACTATTCGCAATGAGGCCCATAATGGCAGGCAAACGCCAGCCTTCGACAGCTTGAGGTACGATAAGTGGAAATTGAAGGAAGACACCCTGAAGATTGAGCCATGTACCCACACCGAATAGAGTGACAAGAATATAGACAAGCGGAGTAGTGATACGAGATGGCCACATGTGTTCGATAGATGAATGAGTGCGAAAATGACTAGTTCTATAAAAGATAAAAAAGTTATTCGTTATCATCTTACTATAGGGAAAAAAAGGACCGATACAGAATCTTTTTTTTTCATGTGACCATATTAAAAAAATGTTTTGTATCGGTCCTTTTTTTCATTTATTGTAACACGATAACGAGTCATCCTCTATCTTTCAAGTATTCAAGCGTGTTTTTGGTGTCAGTATTTTATATGATGGTCAACAAGAAAGTTCGAAATTCATCAAATAATAAAGATAAAATGAAATTTGAGCCTGCTGCAATTGCCCTACTAACGGGTAACCTATAATAAATTGTCTGTGTTTGCATTTGATATTTATAATTTGTTTAATACGTTTAATTTTAAACAAAAATAAATCACGACATACACCGAAATGCACTCTACATTTTACAGAAAAAGTTATTGTATATGCTCCATTGGTTTTCACAATAACTAGATGAAATTTGACGCATCCAATTTTCTATACTGCGAACAAGACCATCTTGCGGTACACGAGTGATACCTTTTTTGTTCTCATCAATTGAGGAGTCATCGTTTTTGACTTTGTCCCCATGGGTGTGGGTGTGGGTGCCGTTGTGAGGTATGGATGAAAAGAAGGCTCATACCCACGCTCGACGAAGATGTCGAGGAACGAAGTAGTTAAAAAAAATATGAGCGACACCCTTGAAGTGTCTGTGTGAGGACTCTCGGCACTTCCACCGTAAGTTGTGGTAACCTATGGAATAACTTTACATACTGATAAAATAATTCGAATGATTTCTTATTTATGTTAGTTGGTTTCAAAAACATTTCAGAGGAATATTATTCATTCTGAACATATAATGATATAGTAGACTCATGAAGACATGAGTAGATATGTCGATCATGATCTAAAGATGTTCTTCTGCAGATCCTAAGAAAAACCGATTATACTGATCGATTCATGAACGTTAATTATTAAAATTTCTAAATTGTTAGTAACTGTCGTAATTTTTGAGAAAAACTGACAACTGTTTCGTCTTGTAAGGCGCATATAAACCTATCAAAAACAAAAAATAAATTTCTAGTTATCAGAACTTATGATACATTACAGAAAAATTCATCTAGTTTTAAATTTCAATTAAATTGTAAAGTAATAGAAGTAGTAAGCTAATAACTTCCGAGACTTTCCTCACTGAAATTGCACTTTGAGTGTTCCAAGAGTTCAGAATTCACGGAAACCGAACATGTCTCTTAAGTCAATACATTGTAACATTTGCAATCGATGTTTTAATTCGTCTTACGACATAAGAGAGATAGATCATATGTCAAAATAAAAGTAGGACAATATGTGTGTCATTATTTTGGATTATAATCTTTCTACGTTCTTCTTGTTTATTAGTAACGGTTGGAACAAGTATGCATCAATTTGTATCATTTTGTTTAGTTATCTTAATTCTTGCGATAGATATTAAATGCCATCTACTTACTGCATTGCTATATTCTATAATTAAAAAATGTTATTATGCTATTGGCTCCTTTCTTATGTTTTATATCACACGAAAACAAATTTCTTTTGTAACACGGATTGCATACAATATGGTTTCTAATGTCAATCAATGTAAATCTTTTGTTATTGTGATACAAAGGCTAGACATATTTTATTCTTTTTATTAAAACTGATGATGTGAATTTGTTTCTTCCGAAGAAAATTCTACAAATATATTACGTTTTTTTGATTACATACAGAAAGCAAAAGGATATAACCTTTTCTTTTTGTTGTAAGAATGTTATTTTGTCATTATTAGGATAATATTGACAGAAGAGTCCTTAATCACAATGATATTAGTGATGTTCTTCGTTGTTGGTAAGATATAGATAATATGTATCAGGCAAAGTAGAGACATAAACAAAATAAAACTTAGTATAAACTGATTAAAAAAGAAGGAATTTTAATCTTGCCGTTTGTTTGATGATATATATCTTTGAATTTGATTTGATACATAAATGATGTTTGAAGTATAATTAAACTATTTTGTTAACTTATATTCAACTATCGTTTCCAGTTTTTTAGAAATCTTGCTAAAGAATGAATTAGACAGAAATTTCTATTTGACTATTAAAATAACTATGTGGATTTGAGCTAGATGCTTAACATAATACAAAAGAAAAATATAAAAAAATACGCTGTTGTTAAACTTCTGTGCATCACCTCTAACATGAAGATTTTTTTTTGCTTGAAAAAATAGGATTTATCCAATCTGCGTCATCAATGAAATGTTATACATGCATGCATCATACTTTTTTTTGTTCTTTACCATTGGATTTTGATACTGGTGATGAAAGTAATGAAAATGATATAGAAAGTATTGGTTATGATTCAAATTATGTTTGTCAGGTAAAAAAATTTCAAAAGAAAATTTGAATACCATTTTAATTTTATTTAATTAGAGTGATCATTATTTTGATCCAATAACCGGTGCAGAAAAAATAAGTTTACGTGGTATAAAATATTGTGAAGAATTAAATGTAATTAATCATCGTATATATTGTTGCAATACAGATCATTGTAATAAATGGTTACCGCCAATGACAATACAAACTACTTTTATTTATTCGAATGATCAACAATATTTACCTTCGATGATACTAACAATTCTTTCTATTATGTTTCAATATTTTTCTTAATAATGATAATAATAATACACAGATTTGCTCGATTTTTCTCTTGTAATAACCAAATTGAAAAAGAAAATACTTACCGAAAGAAAGATAAATGTCTATTGCGACTATCAATAGAAGACATGTTAGATAGGTAGGTTTGGTTTCAGAGATGACGTTAGAATTTTATTATAGAATGAATTGAATCTATCCAATAGTTTCATGATTGGAAGAGTGGGGTGTAGTTTTGTATATGAATGCCGGTGTGTGCCAGTGAATAGAAGACGCACATCCACATCCATACTCTCAGGAAGCGGATGACCAGATCGAGGATGAAAATGTTAAATGGCTTTTAAAATTCCCAGCAACGTTGCCAAAACTTTTGGTCAAACCTGCGTAGTAGCTCTTATTGGTATAGTTACTGTTGTGTCAGTAACTGGATAAATTCATGGATATCCAAACACTTTTGCGGAAAAATGTGTTTTTCATTTAATTTTTTGTGCTAGTTAAACCAAATGTGAACAGAAAATAGTTTTTGCCGAAAAAAATTGGAACTTTTACTTGAAATGTTGGAGATTCATGTGGTTTCGTAGAAACATCTAAGGAAAAAAAATGATTACCCAAGTTATTAAAATGTTTAAAGCTCATATTTTTGGTCAAAACACTTTTTTTCACAGTGAATACATAGAAGCCGCTCTCTTTAAACAACCTTACATTTCAATCATAATAAATTGAAAACAAAAATCCTTTGAAGGTTGTACTTGTCTCGTGGCCTCCTACGTTTGAGTAAAATATGAGCTTTAAACATTTTAATAACTTGAGTAATCCTCTTTTTCCTTAGATATTCCTAGGAAATCATCTGAATCGCCAAAACTTCGAGTAGACGTTCCAAAGTTTTTCTGCCAAAACTATTTTGCGTCCACATTTGGTGTAACCAGTACAAAAAATTAGATAAAAAAAAAACACTTTTCCTCAAAAGTAGTTGGATACCAATGGATTTACTCAACTATTAATGAATCAGTGATTGCCGTTGTTGTAGTTATTGTTCCAATGTGACTGTTGGTTACGGTAAAATAACAGTCACAATGGATCTTCGCTCATCCGATCGTTTCTTCTGTTCTCTTTTCAAATCTGATCTTAGAATAGGTTGTTGACAAAATGTCGAAATAACAAATTTGATAAATGTCTCTGAAAAAAATCGTTTCAGTTGTTCATTGAGACTTGAATTAAGATCTTTCAAAGTAGCTGCTTTATCATAGAACTGATCTAATTTATAAGTAGCCATTGAACGATCAAGTACCACGTATATATCAGATTGCACAACTCTTTTTGACTCAGTGAGAAGTGTAAAACTGCTGTTGAAGCAATACGAATAACAAGAAATGGATTAAATAGCATTGAAGATTTATTAGTCATTATGTATGTATATGAAGTATCGGTCAAAAATAGCATTACAATTAGAAAAAAAAACGAAATATCTAAATTCAATTCAATGAGTTGAGCTTTCTTGAACATTTGATTTTCATTTAGATAAGATAAACAAATACTAATTTTAAGTATTATTGTTACGTAGTATCATGAAAACAATTTTACCTGTAATCAAGTAAGAAAAATACTTGCGTAGAGGTTTCTGGACAATTTTTAGATGTCACGTAGAAGAATAAAAAAAAGTCAAAACAAACTTTATGAATCATACTATATTGACCCACATGGAGGAAATTTTCAAACATGAAGCACTGATTTTTGCAAGCAACTTGATGTGTCATAGTTTCTTAGCCACGCTATCAAATATATAACCGATAAACTTTGCACAATTTGATCAATTATTGAAACTAGTCTCATTGTTATATCGTGTTCTAGACGAAATTCAATGTGTTCATTCAATAGAGTACCATTGTCATTCACCTGCTGATAGAAATGTGTAAGAAAGATTTTTTCATATAATTTCGAGAAACATGATTTTAGTAATTTGCCAATGAGAAGGTGTGTGAAAGTGAGACATGGAATAGTTGAAAGAGAAACAAATGAATGAGTCGTGTGATTATGGTAATAGTTAGATTATCTTGTTAGATATGCTGTCTACGCCACATGAACTTTTGCTTTTCAAGAATAGAATGGTTTTTATGATGTTTTGAACTCTGATGTTTGAGGCTACAGGTTTTGATTTATTAATTTCAATACTAAGTTGTTTAGTGATATTTTGCAAATTTCAAATGGCAAAGAAATCATCGTACTGTTTGACAAAAGAAAAACATTGATCGATCAATTTGCTACTGAGAAATATCATTGTACTTTCTTTCCAGAACTGCTTTATGGCTCTTTTGTTTGATGTATTTTAATATTTACACCAAGATAAGTGTTTGTGCATAGGAATTTATTTTTTGAATTGTTGTTGAATATGATTTTAATTATGTGATGAAGAAGGGATATTTTAGTTTCTCTTGCACTATGTTACCTTAAGTAACTCATATATTTAATATTACCATTGGATGAGAGTCTATAGACAAGGGAATTCGTATTACTTTACGAGTGTCATGGTCAATACGTGGAGTAATTTCAATTAGTCTATGATCAAAAGAGCAATGAGATTTCAATCTAGTAATCATTTGCAGTCATTAATGAGATTAACATTTTTTTCAGATTGTATGAAACGAGCCTGATTTTCAAATTTTCATTAATAAATACCCTATAATATACTTTTAGAATCATTCATCAATTTAACTTGCCGTTCGTTATTAATAATCAATAACGTAGATATTTTGTATGACTAATATGGGTATCTTTTTTCCAATTAAAATAATTAAATAAAGAATAAAAGACAGAAGAATCATGCCAGCACTTTACTCTTTCTAAGGATGATTAAAAAACAAACAAAAATTAAGCTTAATTTAAATTGAAGAAGATGTATGTCAACGTTTTTTCAGGATATAGATTATAAACCGTCTATAATGCACACAGAGGTTTATTAGAAAAAAGGCAATATCGATTTATCATCGTTAAATTACAATTTCAATTTTTATGATCAACTACATTTAGTCAATGTTAACTGTAACTTTATTAATAAAATCAAATAGGTTAATTTTTTCTTGAGTTTATACTTGTAAAGTTCAATAAATGAATGGATAGTAATGTTCTTTACTACAATATATAATAGTGCATAGAATTATTTATATTCTAAAAGTCATTATTTTCAATTTTACCCAAATTATTGATCATTAGAACAGGTTTTCTTCATAGATTACAATATTTACAACCATAACTTTTTATTATTTTATATTTTCAACACAGTGTATCTCGTAAACAGCATAATCATTTGATTTTTCTTTTACAAACTGATACATACTATAATTACTATTATACTTGATTATGTGTGCAGAATGTGACTGATATGACTCATACGGGATCTTATTTCTTTTTCAATGACACATATTGTTGACATATGGCTTTGCTTTTTACTATAAGAAATTATTGATTATAATTGTTATTATATACATCATTTGTCACAATTTTTGTTTTCTAAATTATCATAATTGACAAGATACAAAATAAGAATTAATGAGACATTCTCCTAGTAAAAATTGATTATTACATTTTATTATTTCAGCTGATATTATTTTCGAAATAGCAATATCTTATTTAAAAACTAGAACTATCATTACTAGATTTATAAGCTAATTATGGAGAATTTTAATTGTAATCAAAGAAATACATTATTTATGAACTTTCATTTTTTCAAGATGATTCAGAAGATCATGAGTCAAAGAAAAAAAAATGAAAAATTACAAGAGTCTTTGGTTATTAGTCATACGTTCAGTATGTCATCTTAGGGAGAAAAAGAAGCTCAATAACAGTTTGTGACGAATAGGAGATGTAGTCTTCTAGCTACCCTAGACGATGATGTTTATTGAATTACTTCATTACTCCAGTCGTGTCTATATCACTATGAACACATACGAGAAAAGAAAGAAAAGTGAAGTGTAGCGGTCATTTACTATTACGCAATTACAAATAAAAAATCAACTATATTTTTGTAAATATTTCCGAAAAATATGAATGTATCAATTCAATCTGATTATGAATATATAAATGAAAATGAAATTGATGATGAACTTAAATGTGTTATTTGTAAACAACCACTTGAATATCCTGTGAGTCTATCTATATGTAATCATACATTTTGTAAAGTATGTATACAAATATGGCTTTATCGAAATCAAACATGTCCAATTTGTCGACAAGTTACGAAAAATTATTTCGAAAAAAATAATCAATCATTTCAACAATCTTCATATGTTCCAATTAATACTCGAATAGTACTTAATCAACTTGATCGTCTTCTTGTTCGATGTTTACTTTGTAATGAAACAAATATTCAACGATGTCATTGGAAAAATCATGAAAAATATTGTTCGAAAAGAATTGTATCTTGTCCATCAGCTAATATTAAATGTCCATGGAAAGGATCAAAAGATACACTTTCAATACATTTAAATAATTGTTTATTTCAACAAGTACGTCCAATTATTGATGAACTTATAAATGTACAAATTGAATTAGAAAATCATATCAATATACTCGAAAGAAAAGTTACTTTTCTTGTTAAATTTATTAATAATAGAAATATAATGACACAAAATTGTACAAAATCAGCAAATGAATTGAATCGAACTCGTCAATTTATTTGTAATCTTTGCAATCAATATATACAACGTGAACAAATTTTACTTCATGCTTGTTCAGGAGATTGTATTTGTCGTTCTTGTGTTAATTCTCAATATCTTGGTCATTTTCAAACATGGAAATCATCAAATGAACAATATCTATCATCAGACTCAGAAGACATTGATTGAATCTTTTTAAAAATATGTATTTTTATGTAATCAAGAAAGATTAGAAATTTGAAATCAATCATTTTATTTTCAAAATAAAATTTTTCACTAATATTTATCCATTATATATATTGTTGATTACAATAGAAAAGATTTATTTTTTTTACGGGACAAATAATGGTATTCTTTGATGAGTCATAATAAGAAATAATTCCTAATACGACAATGAGTCAGTTGTAAGAGAATGAATTCTACATTTGGAAAAGTGAATCACCGTTTAATCTTGTGTGAAAATATTTTCTTATATATGTGGCTTATTGATGAGAAGGATAAAAATTAATCTTGAAGTGCGTAAAATCACTGTTCAATCTAATAGTATTTTTATTGTTGAATTATCCAGAATATTAATTTTGCTCTTACGTAATAACTAACTCATGTAATCGACCTGTCTAAGCATGACAGAAAATTGGTTATAGAAAAGTCGAAATCATAATATCGAAGATGCACCTAACGGAAATCATTCAAAAATCAAGAGAAAAAAAAAGACACGATTTTTTCATTATTTGCAGAGCGACTATGATCATTATAATCATTTTAATGAATTCATCATTCAAATTTGTATGAAATTTTGCTGTACATCTATTAAGTGTCCATTTCCAATATAGTCTAATTGTTGTTTTCTCTGTATTCAATTTGAAAATATAATCACCTGATTGAAGCAAAGATCTTCCTTTTTTAAGAATGAATGAAATAACTGATGAAGATAAAGCAGTAGCTATGACAATGATGATAGACATTTACTTTACAGTAGTTATTTTTCAGATTATTTTAGTTGATCTTCATCAGGTATTATTCATGACGGGTACAAATGAATAACATAATCAGAACAATAATGATAAACTATAGACGCCTAAACTCAATATTTATCAGACAGTACACGGACAAATGATTTCCAACATGTGAGTTTGACATACGGAATAAGTTAAAGAAATCCAATAAAATATTTTTTATTTGAATCGGTCCACATTCATATCAAAAACTGAACGCAACTCTTACGCGTCTAAAATATAAGTCTCTTGTTGTCAAATTAAAGGTCAAAATTAGGCAGTAACTCTCTGTTCACTCACGCACACTTACACCCACCCACACCCACACCCAGCACACTGTGACGAAATCACGTTTTTTCATTCTCTATTTTCAATATCTCAACCAACAGAAGTTGGCTAAAACTGCAAATTACCTGAGTATATTTCTTCTGAATCGCTCTATTCATTGTGACAGTTCCATTAGATTCAAAATTTTGTTGACAATTTTATAATTGAAATATAAAATCGTGACTAGACATTTTCAGGACCAAGTTTTTTAGTCTCGATTTCAACGATCGACGCTGTCACACGCATGTTTACTCAAATGCAACAATCATGTTTTTAAATAAAAGTTTAGTTTATTTAAATGATTTTGTGAATCAAAGCAGAAAAGATCACCAGAAGAAACAGTATGTGGATGTGAAGAGGAATCACTCACAAGCAAATCCACACTCACACTCATAGAAAAATACCAAACGAAAGAGAAGAAAATATCAAATGGAAATATATAATCATGTGGTGAAGTTCTAAAATACAAATACAACTAAAGAAAAATCCCGATGAATAATGTCAATGCATCACAAACATAGTGATGCACAGTAAAATTCACCATGGTGAATCGATTTCTTTTAGAGCAATTATATCCATACCAGGTGTCGCTTCGAATACACTCGTAATTTCAAAGTAAAATCCTGGCATTAATAATACTTCTTCCTCAGGATACGTAGAATGATTTTTGATGGATTTTCCATTTCTACATTCAATTGTAAACAATGTACGATTGCCAGACTGACCCATAAAACTTTGTAATATTGATGCATCACGAGTTGTGGATGACACGACCCACCAGGCATGAAGTTGGCCTTTGGTATATTCCTTACTAAGATCTCTTAGAACACCACGCCAAACTACTCCTTGAAATGATGGCAATATATGCAGCGCTGTCATGAATAATTTTAAATATGGAAACCATGGTTTTATTTTATCTCTATTTTCTGAACGTAGTGTATCATTGAATATCTTATAAAGAGAAGTTTCTCCCCCTTCCATACTGAAGATCCTAATAGAAGCCGATTCATCTTGTGTTAATCCATCTTGATCCTTTGCACAATGCCGTTTGGCATCAGCTACATGTCTTAACAGATTCTCCATAAGATGATCAACTGGTTTCAATGCTTCTTCTAGAGACATTAGTGGCTGCTTTTCATAACCACTCAAAAATGTCTCTACAGTTGGTTGAGTCGCATTAGGACTGGATAATTGTAACCTAAAACACAAGTATGCTTCTAGGAGTAAAAGTCGTATTATTATCAATAGTTTAAATGGAAGAACTTACGTTAGTGATGATTTTTCTTGTTCGATCTCTTTAATCAACTCATTTGATTGCGTGAGAACCGCTTTGATCTGCAATATAGATATAGAGCTCATATTGTCCTTCCAGAACTTCAGACTTTCTGTACGAGTCGATTAATTTACATGCGAACATGAAACTCTCCGATAGAATCTCACCTGTGTGAAACCAGAATTTCTAAAGTGGCTAGAAAAGTAAATTTGTTGTGTAATTAGTTTTGATAGGGAACTACGCCGAATTTGTTGATCTTTGCTCTCGTCACATAACCAAAACTTTAGTAATCTAATGGATAACTATTTCAGTAGTTTTGGTGATGACATCATTCTGGACAAGAGTAAATTCTCTCTGCTTAGCAATGTCATAGTGTAATTTAAACTAGGAATGCTCTCAACGATTTCTTTGTAGTACTTATTTTCCAGAAAGTCTTTTCAGTGTTAAAAGTCACTGCTGTATTAAGCCATTCACTCTTTTCAGATAGTCTAACGGATGGCCTATAAAGAATAAACTTCAGAATATTTTACATAGTTCTTAGCAGTATTTCCACAGAATCAAGTAAACTTTTTCCACAAGATTTGTTGTTTAATTTCATATATAGCTGCATTTTACACTTCGATATAAAGTATAATAAAGCATAGCCAGGGACAAAAACTGTCATGTAAATACAGAGTAGATGGACGAAGAAAATATTTTGAGATGGGGCAAGATGATGCAGCGAGCAAGAAATATAGTTTCCGTTTCAGCCTCTACCCACGGAAAAATTTTTATAAGAAAACCGCGGTTTCATCGCACTCCACCGCGGTGTCAATGCGATAACCGCTGAAAACCGCGGTTCACAGCGGTTTTTTTGCACCGCGTTCACAAGAAACCGCGGTGTGTGCACTCGTAATCGCGGTTTCAAATTTAGCGGTTATTACCGGTTTCATGAACCGCGGTTTACTGTATCACAACCGCGGTTTACTGTATCATAACCGCGGTTTCAGATATAGCGGTTATCACCGGTTTTATAAACCGCGCTTTACTGCATCATAACCGCAGTTTCCAATATAGCGGTTATCACCGGTTTCATTAACCCCGGTTTACTGTATCATAATCGCGGTTTCCGAAGTACCGGTTA